AAAAGAGAAGATAATTAAATACATCAATATGTACCTTCAATATATTTGTAATATTTGCAAAGTTTGTGATTCCTTTGTTAGTTCCATGTGCATACTGTAGCCTTTGTTATTTTTTTAAAGTAACAAAGTAACTTTATAGCTAACAAAATAAATAATACCTAAATTAAAATGTTCATTTCATATACAATGAAGTTATAAAATCCGTTGGTAATTTAGATAACTGTGGATGTTGCTAGAGCAAGACTAGCAGCACTGAGACAACTTTGAAATAATGTGCCAGGAATTTTTCTGAGCATTATAAACTTTACAGACTATCTTCAGCATATCAAGGCATGAGTTTTTTGTTTGTTTGTTTGTTTTCTTCCTAGAAGGTCTGATTATGAGGCAAAAATAAATTTGCATAATGAATAGATATGTTCAGTCTACTGTGAGGAAAAATCATCTGTTATGTTCAATAATATATGCTTCATACAAATATATTGGTTTGCATAGACATTTGTCTAATAATATGTTTGAGTTCTTGCTACTTTTCAAAATATATTTTCAGTTTCTGCTGTTAATGTCATATGATAATTCTTCCCTTTTTTTGAGACACTGCCTTTATTATTTTATTCTTGCCCATTATTTTTATTGGTGTCTGAAATCAGGGCTGTTAATTAAAATTTTTTAAGAAAAAAAAAACCAAAACAAAAACTCCCTAAGGAATAAGACCAAGCTCTGAAAGAGATATACAGAAATATGCTATAGCTTAAGGTTGTTAAGATTTCAACTGACCCTGATGTACTTCACTAAGATGTGTGTACCTACTTTTCCTGCTCTGATATTGTTTACTAAAAAATAAAAATTTTTAAAAACTCTAAAAGTATATGATAAGTAAATATGTTGACATCATTAGTAAAAGGAATAAACGGTAAAAATGTAACTAATAAATATATTTAAATCAGCAATCAAGTATGTGTGAAAACCGTGCTTAAATGTAAATGGTCTAACCACAAGCACCTGCCTAAATTTCAGTGAGGAAATCATAGCTGTGAAAATTAAAGCAAAGCACACCATTACTTTTCAGATTCATCTTTTTAATTAAACAAAATCAACATAGGAGTCTTGCACGTAATTACTATGAACTAAGGCAAGGCTAAATTCCTTAAATTACTTGAAAGATCCCCACAAGCATGTGATAAATTCGTTGACTTTTGGGGAGAGTTGATTGTTTGTTTGTCTTCTTGTTGCTGAGTCTCATGCTAGTTTGTAACAAAATGTGAATCCATGTTCAGTGCTAGTGGCTTTTTTCCATTTTATTTCTAGGGAGAAAATTTCCTTTTCTTCATTTGATGAATTAAATTTAAGCATTCATACAAATAACAAATCAATATAATAAATTACAATATATGTAAATGTCTAGCAAAAGCTGAAGACAGGAAAAGTTTATCTAATATGTTTCATATTTTCTTTAAAAAATACTTGAGCAAAAAATAATATGTTTTAAAATAATTTTTTTGGAATTCACAATTTGAAATGAATCTTGGAATTTAAATAAAATATTCCCAGTGCTCTGGATGCTTAATAAACATAGAATAAAATTTATATGTAATTTCCTGGGTTTTTTAAAAAAAAAGTGAATTTCTGATATTTTGAACAATCTTTTTCATGTTAAATAAATTAAAAAATGTCTCAAAAGGCCAAAATTAGCATGCTTTTCTTGTTAGTATTGAGGAAAATAAGTTGCAATAGGCTGGAGTTTTATATTCCTGAAGAGTTTTGAATGAACTCTGCCTGATATTGGAATGTGGTCTGCTAAGGAATGATACAGCAAGGAAGTTCCCTTCAACTTCTACCATATTTTATCAACAGTCTTGAGTTTTTCCAGCTACTAAAACTGGGGGAAATTTGCTAAAGTAGATCTGCTAAAAACCGTGAAAACAGCATAAACACTTACTAGTATATTAGCATCAGGGTTTAGTAGGAATGCAAAGGTTGTATTTTACAGTTCCTATGAAAAGACATGCTTGTGATTTCTCATATCAAATATGGGTGTGAAACATTTCAGGACTACTATAAGTTTTTATTCTAATCAGTCTAATGGAAATGTCTGTAGATCAGGAAACTTGATTCATGGCAAAAATGCTCAAATCAGTGTGCACTTTAGTTTAAGATGTGATATATAATGAGTAATATGACAACTGTCCTTGGAAATTTGGACATAATGACTTGAGCTCTGTGGAAAAAATCCAAATATTTGTGAGGCTTTAATGATTAATTTTAGGGGAATTTTGAAATATTTTATCTTCTTTTTTAAAAACATTAAAAAATTAACAAATTAACAAGAGGAAACTATTTGAATTATTTCCATTCTCTACTTATACAAGTATACTCTGACAGACATCAATAAAACAGTAGTTTCAATCTCTGGGCTTTATTTTGTGCACAAAGACATAGGCATAAAATACCGTAAAACCACGAATTATTACATAATTTCATAGGAACTTGTGAAAGTTTTGTATTTAAATATTTTTTTCAACAGCTTTAGGAATGCTGTATTTTAATATCATGACCAAGTCAATGGGGTATAGAAAACTGCCCATCTTAACAGCCAATTGACCTTTATTGTCTGTAAAAGGAATTTCAATCTGTAATGCATTGTGGAGACTGGCATAGAGAGTCCTGGATCTGCTTGTTTTAGTCTGAATCCCCAGATGAAGCCAAAACCATTAGCATAAGTCTTTCATGACAGACTCTAGACAGATATATATATATGTGTGTACACAAAATGTCCCAGCTTTGTACTTCATTTCCAGCAACTGATAAAAAATTATTTTAAAAGTGTCTGTTGCCTTTTTGCTAAAAAATCAATGTACCTATGGGAAGAAATTCAACCATTAATGAAAAAACAGTTTATGTAATTGGATCAAAAGAATCTCATCTATAATTATTTTTATTATCTTCTTCCCCAAATATAGAAATTATATAACTATCTGAGAATGATACATTATATGGAAATTTCAAGTTATCCAATTTTTTCTCCCTTCTTAGATTTTGGACTATTGCTAGCCTTAGGTTTCCATACATAAAAAAGTGTAATAACTTTTACACTATGTTAGTGTTATTTTTCTTTCACAGATCTGGTTTGATTGCTGTCTTAGGGCATTGGTTGATCAAGAATTCTATGCTACATTTCTGGGCTTTTATTTATATATTTTTTTTTTTTTTTGGTCTGCTTCTGAGGCATTTAACGAGGTTTTCTTTGCCTTTCAGGTTCATTGAGCTTGCAAAAGTTGTGGCAATGTCAGCTTCCAATCTTATGGCTTGGGAAGCAGAGGGAATTGGAGAGGTCAGGGGCTGCTGGGCAGCAGTCAGCTATTAGAGTATAAAAAGTAATAATAGTCATGGCTCACTAAAGAAGGCAGCAAGAGAACCCAGAACTGATCTCACAGCAGAGCAAAGAAATGCTGATGTTGTAAAAGTAAACAATGTATATAAAATACAGAATCTTTCTCAAACTAATATAGAGATTAGGTCAGACCTCAACTTATTTACTACAAAACAGCCAAATTAACTACATGAAATTATTTCTTTCCTGTACTATTTCAGGATCTTAGACTGCAGATAGCTTTTTCTTTGACTCTCTTCCACAAAGTTACCTGCACAGTGTTATTTAAAAAGCTGAATCGTATTCTGTCTAACAACTGGTACATTACTTGAGAGAATGCGTTTACTTGGTAATTGTCAACAATTAATATAAGTTTAAAAGTCAGGGAAAAGGTATCAGCCAGATATTTTGGGATGAAACTAAACATCACAGGGAGAAGGCCTGAAAATGAAAAAATATTTTTAAAATGTTTAATGTTTTTAGAATGTGTCGTGGTTTTAATCAAAGATGATCTAGAATTGATTACTCTCTTATCAACTGTTAGAAATGGTGAGAGCATCAAAATGAGAACAGATCACTTACTATAAATGCCTACAAAAACATTGGGCAGAGTAGTAGCTTCTCCATGTAATAATCTGACACAGCCCTTAGTGTGGCACCCAGTGTTGCTTTTTTGCTAGCAGAAATAATTATACCCTTATAAAGAACAATGTCAGTCAGGAACTTTAAATGATGCACATTTCCTAATTATTTTCCTTTTTATATTATTTTTGAAAAATAAAAACCCAAAAACAAAACCAAAAATCCTCCTAACATTTTCATTTCTACCTATAAAAATTATTGCCTGTGATACATATGAGATAAATGGAGCACAGCAAACCACAGAACCATAATCCAGTGTGTGAAGAAATGGAAATTCTTGACCTAAGGAATGCAACCTGATGAAGCTATCAGAATTCCAGTTTCTATTCCAGGGCTTTATTTGCTCCCAGAATTCTAGAGAAGTATACAAAGTTTGATTAAAGCTAAAAAAAATAATTAAATGTTAAATAAATTTAAATATCAAAAATGGGATTCATAAGTAAGAAGCCCATCCCTACATAAGTGAATTATTTCAGTATAAGCATGTGTTAGTAGTTATATGGAATTAATTACTTAATTCATTGCAATGCTTCCTATAGAGAATTCTATCGCTGACTTGGCATCTTAACAGGATAATTTTGATTCAGTGTGTGATTTGGGTAAATTTTGCCAGGGCAGCTTTTATTGTTCAGTGCTTTCAGCGGCTCAGAATCAGCATTCCAGACATGCTGCTCACATATGTTTCACAAGTGAAAAAGAGGGAATTTTGAGCTGTAAATTGCAATCCAAATAGTGACCTGCTGAGTACATCACTATTCCTCTGTTGTCAGCACCTCTTCTTCCCAACTTTGGGGGCAGTGTTGCCGTAGCCACCCTGCTGAATGCTTGTGTAACATTGCTTTCCTAGTGATAGTGCTGCACAAGGTGTCAGGATGTGACTTACTTTGATATGAATCTGGAGGTAAAGATGATCTTGCTGTCCCCTGATTTCCCTTTGTCTCTTGATTGCTGCAATCTTTTCTTTGATAAAGTCTTTTTCTATTTGTCACAGAGTAATAGCTGGCTCTGATAAGCTGGGCAAGAAGGGAGACAAATTTTGCTACAATTACTACTGAAAGACCAGGTGAAAAAATCTCATTTCAGGTAAATGAAAATGGCAGGTGTATCATGGTACTACAGACTCTGGGTGTAAGAGTGGTAATTTTGGAACCAATGATTTACCTGCTTATGTTGACAGATTGTTTTAAAATTGCAAATTGTAATAAGGGATTTTGTAGCCCTTGAAAAAAAGACAATTTACTCAGTCAGACCTTCCACACGGGTACACTCAAGACATATGTTCTGAGAGATTAACTTTTTTTTTAAACAATAAGAGACAGACTTTTCTTCTGAAATAATTTAAACATTTATTATATCTTAATCTAAACCTATTATTTTAGGTTATCAAAGATTAAATCTCTGTTTAACAAATGTAGCTACTAACACACATACTGGCAATTTTTTCCATATGGATATCTATTCTGTGTGACTTCCACTTCTTATTATATTCACTCATATCTTTAATTGTCTTTGAGTTAGTCAACCTGAAAAAAAAACAACTATATGAAACAGAAAAATCTCAAACATAAAGTGACCTGTACTGTAGAGAGCATACCACCATTACTTTGAATGTTTCCTTTTATTGCAATTTATGTCAATGATAAGTGGGAATGAACGCTTGACTAACAACCTAACAGTCATCATAATGAATCTTTTGTTCAAAGTGAAGTTAGCAGACAAAAATAAAAGCTTTGCCCTTCATTTTGAGATGAGGGGGTGGTTTTCTTTTGGTTTTTTTTGGTGTTGCTTGTTTGTTTAGTTGGTTGGTTTTATTTGTTTATTTTTGTTTGTATTTGTTTTGTTTTTTATTGTGGTAATTTGGTTTAAATTAAGATTAAAGATTGCAAAATATTATCTCAGAATCAGTGGGATTTATGAAAATTGTCCCTTTTCTAAAAGACGCTTATTTACAATATCATGTCTATGGAAGGTTTTTTCTGATCAATATATTGCCTTTTCTTTCATTAACTTCTCCTCAACTGCTTTCTGCATTCTCCTTAACATGCTAATATGAGAACTTTTCCCCTGAAGGAATGTGTGTTCTCACTCTGTTGTAACACCTACAATACCTTGGTTTCAGCATCTCACTTTAATATTCAGTTCCTCTCTATCTTCCTAGTTTCATACTTAAAGCTGGAAAAATAATAATTTCTTGTCCCCAACAGTCTATGGTTTTTGTGTGGTAGTTTGCTTTTTGGGTTAGTTTTATTGTTTTAGGCTTTTTTTCCATGAATAGGTGGTTAGGTCATCCTTGCAGCAATATCATTGCCAAAAATTATTTGTTGTTATATTTATCTCATTTCTAATTCAGAAATCAATGAGAAAAAGTCTATTTCAAAATGTTTATTTTTAAGTTTTCCTACCTAATGCTGGCCAAATGTGTATTGAAGTACTACAATTAAAACCCAAGTTTTATATCTCTACCACTCAGGAGGAAAAAATGCTTCAGTACAATTCTGATCAATGTGCAGATGTATTTTCTTAACTATAAAGCATCTAACTCTCTTTGAAGGGATGAGACACACAAAGACTTATTTTTTCTCTTGAGTCCTCATACTGCCTTTTGTCTGTATTATTTTGAGTTTATCCGGCTCATCTAAGAAGTTCAGATATTTAATCAAACTTTGGATGCTTGGTCACAGTTTATCTGAACCTTTTCCTTTGGAAATCTGACATAAATTGTATGCCACTTGAGATTCTCACTACGTTTGTGATTTTGGGCAAGTCAGATATGTTTTGCAACATTGTAGAAAGTGTATCAAACACATAGTACAAAAAACCTCAACAGAGCTCTTGCAAAGCACAAAGTATTTCCTATCTCCTTTAGGATTTGGGGAAAAAAACAAGGATTTTCAGTCAGAGGACCCAGAGTAATGATGTCATAAAGATGCTTATGGCGTGGATACAGCGTAGGATCTTACATACAGCCCTCAATTTCACTGATGTTTTGTTACATTTTGCTGTTATATCAGAACATCTACTTATTTTCTATATTATGTATTGCTCTGATGAGGTCTGATGTTTCTTTCCACACATACAGATTGGAGTGTGTGAGAAGTTATGGTAAACCTAGATACCACACAAAAGAGATTCAGGCTTGAATATATAACGGAACACTGGAACCAGTGTTGCCTAGATAAGAGCCAGAGGGATGACAGCCTTCCAGGTTTGACGTGATTCTCCTTCCTCTAAGAGTAGACTAATTAATTCCAGGCATTTATTTTGTCTCTTCTCAGGAAATACACACTTGCATTGATTGCTCCCTCCCTGTCTCTTATCGATGCAGGATGACTCCTCAGGTGGGGAACAACGTGCAGTGACTCCATGATTTCAGAAGGCTGAACAAATGCTTTATTAAGCTATTCCACACTACATTCTACTATATTAATACTATACTATACACTACTAAAGAAAAACCTGTGACCCTTATAGGCAGCCATGACAGAGTTTTGATCTAATTGGTCAATTAATCCAAACAGCCATCACCAGTGTCCAATCAAGAAATCCCTTTTGGGTAAACAGTCTCCATAACACATTCCACATGTGCCAAACAACAGATGCAGCAAGTAGAGATGAGAATTGTTTTTCTTCTTCTCTGAGCTTTCTCATTGCCTTCCCCAGGATTTTTCCCGGGAAAGTGGTGCCTGCTGCTCTCTGAGAAGAGAGCTGCAGCCACAGTCTCCCATACGGATTTCAAGCTCAGAATTGAGAACCAATCCCAACATATGAGAAGTGAATCTGTCTCTTTGCTTCCTTATTGGATTACCTTTAAATACATTTTATCTGTTGTTATTTTGTTCAGTGTTCTTCTATAAAACATCTAAAAGGTTTGGAAATTCCTCATTTTACTGCTAGAGACAGTACAATTAGTAAAGCACTGGGATATCATATTAATTGAACAACAAAAGAGCATTTAGTCCACTCTTTGTACACAAGCATTGTTTCTTCTGGCAACAAATCTCTGTGAAATTAAAAAGGATAGCACAACAAAGGTGACATCTTTAACATTTGATGTTAAATTTTTAAATTTTTAAGCCATTAAGGTAATTCCACAAGGTCATTTTGAGTACTCCAAACTTTATTTCTGTTTCAAAAATGAATTCACTAGGCCACAGGTATAAAACCAGACAGGATTGCACAGTAGTGCTCTTCTGTGTCATTAAGACAATGCATAATCATGTTTTGTAAACATCTATAAATAAAAAGCTATCAGAAAAAAACAGAGCAGAAATGTATAAAAATTGTAAACCATTTTATTAAAAATCAAACATGAAAAAGAACAATAAATAAATAACAATTTAATTATATTTTTATTTAAAATTCATTCTATCTCATCTTTCTTAAACAGAAGGGTTGACTTTATATGACAGGATTATTTTATTCCACAAATTGAAACTAACAGGTACATGCTTTGTGTGATTTTTGGCCTTGAAAATATTTTTCACATAATCTTGAAAGTGTTTACTCTTTTTTTTTACTACTTCTCTTTCTTCTCTTTTTGACACCATAATTCTGTATAACAATGTATGAACAACATAAATTTTAAACACTTGCATGCCTGTATGACAGTATGAATATTGATTCACTCTGTGTAGTGAAACAAACACAAATATTGTGTGTTTAATTAGTAAACACAAAATATTTTATAAAACATATTCATCCTTAAAAGAAGTGTCACGGTTTTCCTTTTTGTGAAATAACACATTTGAGCTCATTTTAGCACCTACCTAATAAGTTTCTACACAAGATTCTCCTGAATAATCTTTTTGTTTTTCCTATACTAAGCAGTATGCTTTTAGTCCTTTTTCCTCCCCTCTTTTCCGGTTTTTGATTTTTTTGGGTTTTTCTTTATTTTTCTGGATGTGATATATTCCTTTCTGTTACCATTCTAAACATGTTTGGGGTTTTTTTTATTTTATTTTATTTATGTTTAACTTATTCCCTCTTGTCTTATAATCTTTTCTTCTAACATTATGCAATATGGTTTGACTGCTGCTCTCCTATCCTATTATCCTTCTCCTGTCACTTCAAGTCTTTGTTTCATCATTTATCTCCTACCCTTTATATTTTCACTTTTACCTTCTCTTTTCTCTTTTTAAAGGAATGTTCCACTACTTTGAACTCTTGCCTGCAACTTTCACTTTTTTCCCCAAATAAAAGGTGTGCACTTTGTCTCTATATTCATGGCACTCTCTGTCATTTGCCTCCATCTTATATTTTCACTTTATTTTTTTATATTTATGAGTATTCTTATAAATAATATTTTTAAGCATATGTTGATACATGTGTTTTGTTTCTGACAAGAACATCTATGGATGTAATTTACCTGACCACTTTCAGATGCAACACTGTAAATCTTTACAATTGTTTTTGTTCAGTTTACAGATAAAAGTTAATTATAGGAAGGAATTCTATGATAGATAAGTCAGATACAAACACCCATAGCTTTTCTTCCTTTTCTCTAGGAGAAAATCTTTGCATTTAGCCTCTTCTGCTTCCAGAAAAGGGTATCAGAGATGATAAGAAATTCCCAACACGTACATACTGCATAAATACGAGTTTGGGTGAGTGGACAGTCCTGCATAAATCTACCTACAATTGAAACTATATCTGTGAAACATTTTACATCAAATTAGATACCATTAGCATGAGAATATCCATTCAGTGTGGTAGATATTTACTCTCCTTATTTATGTCTGCTTTTCGTGCCAGATTGCACAGAGTAGTCTTGAGCCACCGACCTTGGAACCTGATTGATGGGGCAACTACATTTCTCTGGACTGCTTGTATTTCCTTCCTTCCTTCCTGCCTCCCTCCCTCCTTCTCTCGACACTAGTTCTCTCTCAAAAAAGAGATCTCTCTTTTCATGCATAGTCAAAAGAACATGCCTACTGGCTTATACCTACACTCTCAGAAAACTCCATGTGCTTCTCAGTAGGAAGAAAAACTGTTTTCTATTTGCTTAAGACAATTAGAAGCATATGCATTTAAATTTATGCATGTATTGTATATGTGTAAATACTTAAGCATGATTAACAGCAGACAATCTTTGTTTCTAGCTTGCAAAGCAGAGCGGCTGATTTATCCTGCACTACTGAGCATCAAGACATAGGTAAATAAATGTCTACACTATCATTTGATTGTAGTGAGATTCTAGGATTCCTCACTAACTAGTGTCTGCCCTTGAGGCTACTGCAGTAAGTCATTACTTGAATACTCCTGATCCATTTTGATAAATAAAAAGAAATAATTTTAGTTTTGTCATAGTCATTAACCTCTTTATAAAATATTGTAAAACATAAGGAGATGACAAAAGAAGCTAGTGTGAAAATAAGCAAGTATTGACTTAAGTCAGAAAGAAGAGTGCTCACTAGCTTGTGAACACCAAGTTCACAATCCATGTTGGTTTGTCATACTGCATCTGAGCTACAGCCACCAGGTAAAGAGATTAGAAGCCTTGTTTTACAGTGTTTTAATGTATCCAGAGTTGAAATGAGTGTCAGTGCTTGTAATGAAATGTAGAAGACCATTAGAAGTACTTTGATTTAATACTGTCCAAAAGGCTTTTTTTATAATTTTTAATTATGAAGTTGCTAGAGTTTGGATCAGTACTGGAACACAGAGTAACTACAACCTTCCAATCACATCAGGAAAAAAAAACCCCTAAAAATTAGGAGCTATCAATATTCTAAGGTCACATAAAGATTTAAAGTCTTCTAGGCCCTGTTTCCTTTTGGAAACAGAGTGGTTGGAGTCAATTAGTAATGCAAAACACATTTTGCTTAGCATCTACAAAACTTTTGCTTTGGAACTGGCAAATCAGTTGTAAAATAAAACTGGCAAGCTCTGTCCATACAGTGATACCTTCTGACAGTTTTTCAAGATTATTTAACTTCTCTTGCCATTTATGTGTAAGTTTAGGGAGCAGCTATTGGAAAAGCTGCCAGTCTGTTCCTTGCCACAAGAAACCTGCATTTATTTTTCTGAAAGGGGGAAATTCAGGTAGCACTGAAGACTAAAATTAATGGTTGCACAGTTTTTTCAGGGAATATACAAGAAAGACAAAACTGTGTTATGTGTTGTGATAAATAAAATAATTTTTTTAAAAAGCCATTTAAAAAATGTATTGCCTTGTCACACTGAGATGCTGCAAATTTTTACAGAATGAAAAGGAGCTTCTTTTGACAAGTATATAATAATTCTTCTTTCTAAATTATTTTGAAAGGATTTTTTTAAAAGGAAAATTTAAAAAAACATATTTAACAAGATTGCAGATGCTGAGAATTTTCTTTTCTTGAAAAAAATCTACCATTTTTTCTCCACCAGCTTGTGCTGAACCTGTCTTTATTAATATAATTCAACTATATTTATAAAATATAGCTTGAAGGAAGATTTGAATACAGAAACTAGGATATAAAAGCAGTATCATTGAAAGAAACGGTGATATATTGTTATAGCATAACTTACAATTATAATAGGTCAAAGAAGCACTGAGATTCCAGTTTAAATACCTTAAATAATTTCTAATGAGTCCATAATATTTTACATCAGAAGTCCCCCACTAACAAGTTTTAACAGTTTTTACCTCCGAACAAGCCTAAGTGGTAAAGCCAGGCTCATCAATTTACATAAACTAGTCAGATTATGTCACGGCTTAATTTTCAAAAATATTTACATGCATTTTCACACATTTACAAGAAATAAATACATATTCTATGAAAATTAGTTCCATTGTAATGACAAAGTTTATTTACTCTGATAAAGATTAGCACCATAGTATGAAACACTGCAAAATAGTATCCATGTGAAAACAAGTTTTCTGGGAAAACCATGATCCTGATTAAATCCTGTAATGCCTTTTTGCTTTCTTTGCTTAACAAAGTGCAGAATTATTTTGTATTATTTTCTTCAACATAAAAAGAGAAAGTGATATTTGCCAAATCCCTGCCCAATTATTTATAAAATAACATTTTAACTTTATCACACTGTATAAAATTCTTTAAAACTCATAAACTCTGTAGTAAGTGACATTTCCAAATATCAAATCTGGTTTTTGTTCTGTATGAATAGGGATTGGAATCTTTAAAGAATGTATGACATATATGGTGATGACATCAAAGAAATATGGTTTTGATGAATAGAATCATATCAAAACACATGTTAATTAGGGTAGAAAAATAAGAAGGAAACAGTTCCAAGGAAAGAGGTTGATTTTTGTTTTTTGTTTTTTCTTTAAAATGACATAAAGTAGAAAAAAATGAGAAAGGAAGCTGACATATTCTTACCTACCAGATTGGCAGGTGGGCTGCTTTAGAACATTTTTACAACTCACCATTGTGCAAATACTACTGCCAAAGGCAGATGGAGGAAAATGCCAAGCACATGTGAAGAAGGTCAACAACAAAGATACTAAGAGAAAGGAAATACAACACTCCTTTAAACATTTTTATGGCACCCTGTGTTGCAGCTACAAAATGCTGGCTTCTTAAGATGGCCAGGAAAAAAAAAACTGGAAGCAAGAAGATGCTTTTGGCATGAAGTTAATTAATTGGCTAGTCTACTATAAATTATGATCTCCAATACCAGCAGGTGGATGTGTTCCTTAGCATGTAGTATAACCCATTGTATACATATAGGAATTTTTTGGGCTCCAGAGAGCCCTAAAGTTCCTGTTCAGCTCTAGTACTTGGTTTTCCATGTTATAAGCCAATACATGGAGCTGCTCTATGGGGCACACATGCTCCTGGGTTTTGGCTGATTCTGGTTACAACATAGAGCTCCTCTACCTATGCCAGGGACACCAGCAGTGTTTCAAAGTATATTGGTTTAGACATATCTCTGGGGCCAGTGTTGCTAAACACTTAATTTCTTATTCCTTGGCATGGGCTTGAGAAATTCTTCAATGAGGTACAAAGTTCCTTTATGACCATAAAGCATTTCCTTTTAGTAGGTGTTTATTGGGTAGTTCAGCTAGGATAAGACCAGGGGAAGTCTGCCACTGCATTGGGTGGTGAGTTGTTTATATTACAAGGCTGCATTAATTGCTATATTTGTCATTGAGGAGACAAATTCTGCCAACAGCAGGCTGGAGTTTCTCTGTGGCATGAAACAATGAGGCTTGGCAGAGATCGTGCTACACTGCCTTAACCCACAAGATTATCAGAATTGCTAAATTTAAACTGGGAGGAGAGGGAAATCTCAAAGGGTTTTCCTTGTATCACTTTCTAATGTATTGTAGTGAAACTTCAACATCACAGTTAAGAGTAAAATGGAGGAGGTTCAGTAAGACATCTTTTTACATTTCTCAACACAATGTGTCCATATGCAGAAGCATTTGTTGGCTGCAAAACAAGCATATTTTTCCAGAATAGATTTAAGGCATCTATCATGTGTCTCCACTTGTGCAAGGACTTTATGTAAAACAAGAATGTTGTAAAAGACTGAGAAAGGGTATTTATTAAGGATGAAATTGCTGTGTACTTCAGGACATGCTAGGAGAGACAATCACAGAGACCACTATCTACTTTATGTTTTCCGTTATAAATGGAATAAATGTCAGAGTGATGCATTCTAATTCAAAGGATCCTGCATTCACAAGATTTTGCACTGATGTTGTAGTTTTCTATATGATTTTGGGGCAGAAGAAGGTGATGAACGTTCCCTAATAATTTTTAGTTCAATAATATAGTTTTATTATTCATTACAGTATTTCATAATAAATTTATACAGTGCCCCAAAGGAGATATTGTCACTTCAAGAAAAGTAGTAGCTTTTACCAAGCCTTCCTAAAACACCTTACAAAATGAAATTCCTTGAGGCAACAATTTATAAAAGTGGTTTCTATTGCTAAAACTCTAAAGCAGAACATAATCAGTAACACGACGAAGTAGATGTCTTTCCTTAGTCCAGAACAGTTCTCCCTATAAAGTATGTGTTTTCAATAATAATTTACTCTTAATAAAAACATTTCTATAAAATCATTCTTTTGAAACTTTATGGTTTTGGACTCCAAACTCATTAATTTTCATATCTAGATACAAAGGTTTTGGTGTGAGGTCACTAAACCAGGAAGCTCAAGGTTGCAATACTGATCATTCAGTGGATAACAACATTTATTTGAAGTTAATAAGAGTGTTTATTTCAGGAAGTACACCTATGTCTTTTTTCTTATTCTTTTTCTTTTATTTCTCAATTTTTCTTTAAATGTGAATATAAATATTTAATTAGTGCTTGTGTGTTTGGTTTTTTAATAACTTGGCCATGTTACTTTTGACTGACTGTTTATATTTTCTTTCTTTCCCTTCCGTTTCCCACAAGATGCGTAGGATTAGTTCTCAGAAAGTGGTAACTGAGTAAATTTGTGTGTGCATTGGGATGGAGGGCATCTGAGACAGAAAATTACACCAAAAGGGGGATTAAAAGCTGACCTTTGTTTCCTTTTATCTGCTATTTGTTGGAGTTTCCGTAAGGCTCTGAATGAGCAGTGAATGTCAAAAGGAGTTCATGCTCACTGAGATGGGCTGTCACTCCTTTGACATTCTCTCAGAAATTTTTCAAAAACAGCTACAATATTTCAAGAGATGAGCAAGAGCCTAATAATAGGGTGGTGATGAAACTAGATCTCAAAACTCTCTGTTAAGACTGGAATTAATAACTGAGCGCTTTTGATTGACAGATATATGAACTCATTAAGATTTAAGGTATAAGGTTTAAGTTATAAGGGTTATCTTTAGAACAGAGGAAACTAATAGCACACCAAAGATAAGGACTTTAAGAGAATCCTACAATAGCAAAAATTGCCATAAAATCATATTCTTATTTTATATACATAAAACAAAAAGTTGTCAGAATTTTTGGAGATAAAGAAAAGTAATAGAGGCTCTAGGCTGAGAATCAGATAAGGAAATATTCAGGAATATTAAAGAGTAGGAAAATAATAAGGAAGAATATTACTCTGTAAGAAAACATGTTTATGTATGTGTCTACAAATTCTGTAAGACTAGCTATGATTCTGACTACCAAAGAACTTGAAAATCTTTCTATGGATCAAATTATTTTTTAGACAGTTTGTTTCCTGAAGTGTAACACTGTGTTACACTGCGTTAATAAAGTAATGCAAATTCTTTACCCAGCCTTGCTCACACCTGTCAAATGGACAACATGAGTTTGCTAATGCTTTAAAAAAATGCAGTGTTTCAAGCTAAATTTAGAATCTAAAACTACATCATCTTTAAAAAAAATGTAGTTTGGCTTGAGTTTGTTGTATCTGATAGATCTCTAGTTTTGTTTATTTAAATCAATAGTGCCATGAGGGAGCTGCTTTTGAACAAACGTAAAAATCTGTTTATCCTGGAGTGGCGGAATATTGTGACACACACATCATGTTAGCTCATTGAGAAGTAAACATTTTTGTAATTATTTTGACTGAATGGATTCAGTGTGATAGCCTTCCACCTCTGCCCCAGAAAGTGAAAAGTTGTCCACCTATTTCTTCTCAACTATGCAGATGCTGCCATGAAAAAAATTAGTCTCAAAGCCTATCTACTTCCAGTTCTCATCATTAAGTACAAATGCACTTAATGTGTGTCTGTTTCCAAGTGTAAAATTTAATTCAGCATACAGAAAATTATGAAATATCCAGTCAGGTCTCCAGCTTTGGATACTTCAAAGAAGGAACATCAAAGCATCAGAAGGGGGAGAAAGAGGCATTTGAAATCTCTCCAAAAGTCCAGTAGTTTATTTATGGTCAGATTTCAGGGGCTGGAACTTCTTCCTGGAAGTACCTAAGTCATCTAAGATAGGGTTAACTTCTCTTTCTTTTTCCCATCTTCAGGACTTACTGAAAGAAGAATGGCTTGCTCTCTTACATTCTAGAGAAGTATTTAATCCATTAAAAAGAAAACTAAACTTCAGAACAAGAAGATAAGATAATTTGCAGAGAGAAGAAGGGTCCTCTACTTTTGCTTGATTTAGCGCTAGTAGCTGTTTTTCAGGGCACTCTATCTCAAGTGGAGCATCTCCAAGTAAATAACATGTGGAGACTTGAAGGAAAAATTTCTCCATCCTTCTCCAGTTTCTATCTTTAAATGGACCCTCAACAAGAATGTTGGCTATTGACAGCTGCTGCTAATTATCCTGTTCCTCCTGGTTGCCATTTTGAAGCCTGTGTCACCATGTGCTTTGTAACAGAAGTCTACATTCTAATATTGGATTCTGAATTCTAGCCTGGGGAAAACAATACTGCAGAATTCCTCATTACTTGCATATTTATACATAGATTAAGATCTATGTTATTCTAACATCACCTGGGGAACTAAATTTGTACAGAGTTGAAAATCTCACCCAATTTTTACATTCAATGAAGTCATGCTGTGGTTGATGTTCAAAGCTTATGATTGCTCTCCACTACAGTTCAGTGGTCCTGTCCCACCGGGACACATAAAAATATAAATATATGTATGTGTGTGTGTATCCGCATATATATAACACATCGTATTTTATTGTCTAGTTTAACAATATGTATAATAAAATGGTGAACTGCTATTCCTACTTTGGAAAAAATTTTTCCCCATTATGAAATGCATGATTTACTAAAAATAGGTGGGTGCTGGTCAGTATTTGCATTGCTATTTTAAAAGTAACAAACTTGTATAGAATCTCAGATTTGACCTGGACAAAAAACAAAATAGTGGTAAAAAAATGTAAATGTTGAGACTCTCAGAGCCATCAAATTACCTTTCCAAACAGATTTTCTTTTAGACTAAGTGTTCTGATAGTGTTTGGTGTCAGAAGAGGGAGCTCTTGAACTATGTCACGTTTCCAATAGATTCTAAAGAGTACACCTTTATTCCTAAGAGCACACCTTTGTTCCTTGCATTATTAAAATTGAATTTCTCAATACTTGAAACACTTTCAAGTAGCCCACTTAGTCAGAATGGTATATCCAAGATGCACAAGTGCTTTTTAAATATATATAACTGTGCGAAAAAAAGGGGTAAGAATGGCAAAAGCTGAAACCAAAAATTAAATCAGAAATGGTTTGCATCTCCCATTACATAAAAACCACATAAATGCACACAAGCTGCATATAATGAGATGCACATGAACCTCATAAAGCATTCAGTGAGAGCAAGTATTCACATATTTTATTAAAAGTTGTATGACATATCTAAGGAAGGTTATTGTTTGTATATAATAATAATTAAAACACCAAAGCTTGTCAGAGAGTGCCGGTGTGTTATCTTCATCAATCAGCCAATAAATAAATCTTGCTCATTTTTTTAGATTGAGGCAAAAATTGTCATTATAAACACATCCATAACACAAATTGAATGATATTCTAGTGTCATTTCTCAGGAAGATTTTTCAAAGTCAATGTGTAGGAGTTAATCTAATGCTCCTGACATATGTAGGTCATACAAAATGGGATTTAGTTTACCTGTTCCAGCCACCTGGGAGTTAGGCAGTGTAATGAGACCACTCCTACTAATGAAGGAATAATTTACACATCCTGAAACAGGCATTCAAGAAAAGAATAAAACCTTTTTTGTGAACTTAATATTTTAATTCCTTAGACATCTAGCTCTAAGTACCTCAGTCCTAAACTGGTAAATTAGGCTGAATACAATGACTTCATGACACTGACTAGACTGGAACTCACCCCTGTGCTGCTCAGGCCATCCACACAGGGTTGTAGTACATTATGACACCTGTGAGAGCCCCGTGTTCTTCTGGCTGGTGGAGACAGGTCTCATGTCTAGGTCATATCAAATGGCATCAGATGTCCCTCTTGTACACCTGAATTTGTCTATCTGAATCAGGAATAAGGTGTCAATATAAAGAAATAGTGAGCTTTAAAGGAGGTGGTGATGCATACAACATACAAGATAGACAAATCTTAACGGAGAAGGTTTCTAGGCTATCTGATCTACTTCTGAAGTTTGCTCTGTCTTTGAGGAAAGAATGGTAGAATGGGGCCTCCAGAGATGCCTTCCAACCTAAATTATTTTACATTTTTATGATCTTATAAAGACCTTGAGGGTTTATTCTGAATCTGTCAGGATACTCATAGTGTATCTAAATGTCTGGATGTCTTCTCTAAGTTTTGTTAGCAGAAACAGGGGAAATCAGGCTTGGAAGAATACCTGCCCTGTATTTCTAAGTATTCTCAGCTGACAGCATGCCAGATGGATGTGTTTACTCATTTGTAAGTGTGTGAGCACGGCAGGGATGGAGAGGGCTTACTATAACAACTGATTTCCCAGGTAGTTCAAATCACGCTGTACTTCTGATGGATCTATTTACATTACAGCTCCTCTTGTGCCAGTGTCAGGCTCAGGACCAGGCCCACTTACCTCCTCTCAAAGACATCAGTAAGTATTTGTTACCAGATGTGAAGCAGACATAACTTCTTGGGAAAAAATTATTATGAGGACAATTCCCTAAAGGAAGAAAAATACCATAAGTTTATATAATGAAGGATTCTTCTAACTTCAACAAAAATAATCTTGAGCACCTGAGGGAAAAAAGAAGTCAGGTAGATCCAGAATGTAAGGCCAGTCTCCTAACTGTTATATCTTTTGTGTTACACATGATGGTTTAAAATGTAGCAATATATCTATTATTCTAATAATGGGTGATAAATGAACTAAATCCTTCAGAAGGAAATAGTGATAAATGAACTAAATCCTTCAGAAGGAAATAGTTGAATGTAGTTAAATAATATATTTAAAGAAATAACCTGTATGTTTATAAAGTATTAATAGAATTATATTGAAAATATGCCTTCTGTTATCCAAAAAACTTCCTCAGTGAAATTTATCTTGTAGCAGGTTATCTTGTAGTGGCTCGGAAAAAAAAAAAAAAAAAAAGTAATTTCTCATAAAAGGAACATGTCTACCTAATCAGTTTTCTACTGGACTTTATGGAAATAAAATAAAATTCTGAAAGCTTTTCTTGGAGATACCAAACTTTGCAGCTGGTAACTACCAAACCCTCATCCAAAATCCTCATTATGTGCCACAGATGTGGAATCTAAGAGATTAAGGAGAAAAATGCTTTGTTAAAGTGAATTACTATATGGCACTATCAGTTTTTTGCTGTTTGTATTAAGGGATTGTGACACTGGTGAGTCATTGTGAACAATCATGAAGGAAGAGAAGCACTTCAAAAAATACTTCTGCTTTTCATAATTAACCTCTACTGCTGCACAGTAGAGGTGATTGGTAAAACTCACCCGCCAAGCTAGATAAAGCAAGCTCTGTAAAATTGTGAGGTGGACATCTGGCGAACCACAAGTGCATACTAAAGTCAAGTTTTAAGGCAATTAAAGCTTCATATTTATTTTTTATTAGTTTAGGATGCTTAAGTAAGCTGAAACAATTAAGAAGCTTATTCATATTTTCATTTTGATTTGGAAGACTTAATGGAACCCACAATCCCTGTTGCAGAATTTTGAATAAGTTTCAACTAGAAATCAAAATCCCTTTCTGGAGCAACTGAAACAAATGCAATGATTATTCAGATCTTATGTTTGTGTGTGTGTTGTCCTTATATGTCCTAGTAAAATACATGATTTACTAGAAACTTTTTTCTTAAATTCTTCACCAGGCTAAAGATTTTTCTTAATATCATTATTTCTCCAGAAGAATTTATCCATAGAACATAATGATAAATGCTTCTTAGGCAAGATTGAATGTTCAAATTCATTTTCTATTTTGAAAATTATAATAAAGTTTAAGATTATAGCATAAATACATGCAGTATTATAGTCTAAAAAATCAACAGAAGGCTTGTCACAAGAATTCTATACATCAATTCCATAATATTTTCTTACAACAAAAATTAGCACATATAGCAGAAACCTTTAAATTATTTTGCTTTAGTAAGGTATTCATATTGTAAGGGAGAGAAAAGAACTATATAGAGAAATTATATGTAAATATAAGAAAGACCATTAAAAAAAATTAAACTGCTTTACACATTCCAAATATAGTTGAAAAGAAAAAGCTATTAGTGTTTCAACATTTTGACATGTAAGCTCTTCGTAATCAAGAGAGAACTACAATAAACTCCATTCATAGTAATTTCCAAAGAGAAATAGTATAATCACTCATATTCAGATAAGGTGGTATTCTCAGACACTTCCTTATTTCCTTCTACTCATCAGGGAAGTTTCCTTTCTTTGTGTAAAATTGAAATGACAAAGAGCCATTAGGCTAATCATACTCACAGAAGAAGAGCTCTTGGCATGTTTAGTTAATCACAATTTCATAGCAAGTGTAATAAAAAATATAGACTGAGAGATCAAAGGGAAAATTATAATTCTTTTTGACAAAGTCATTGAACTTGTTTCAAGAACCCTGTTCATTTTCTGTGGGTGGGAACCTCCTGGCAGATTTGCCCCATCCCTTACCAACTGAGGAATTTCTCCATGACGTCCATGCTGTTTTAACAGTTGGACTATACATTTGTACAACAGATGTCTGAAAGAAAAATGTGATTTCCTATCAGAATCTGAGCATTTTTATACCTAGCAGTGATTACTGGAGAATATTTGTCCCAGCAAATATAAGATTTAGCATGGTCATCTCTGATTTTAAAGAGCTACTTCTGACTTTCCTTTGCTTATTGAAAACTTTGTGCTACAATTGTGATTATATTTTAAGCTAGAGGTAAAGAAAATGCAGAAAAATTAAGTGTAATAGTTACTACATACAGTATTCTAGTGCATCCCAAAACATCTCAATCTTATTATTCAATAACTTGTTTTTACTTGGTATACAATCCTCATATAGCAAGGTTTGGATGGTAAAATGGTACAGTGGCCCTTGAATGAAGGTAAGAGAGATTTGTATACCAGCTCTGCTCAAAGGAAACGGCTTCGTACCTTTGGTTTGGTTTTTTATTCCTTATAAAATGAGATCAATTATACTAAAACAAACTCATATTTATATGGCACTTCTTTCAAACCAGACAGACAGTCATAGGCTTGTAAAAAAGTAGAGGTTTAAATAAATTTTTCTTTTCTCAGTAATGTATACATTCACCAGTTCAAGTAGGTTTCATTACAGTAGAAATTCACCAAAATAATATATGTTCAAGGCGTATTTCATAACTATCTTTATATGCTACTGAGTAGAGATTTGTGTATGAAACAATTGAAATTTAATAATGAGCACCAATTGCGTTATTTAAATAATTGTTTTCAGCGCTCTGTTTAATATTATTAAGTGTCCATTTTCCTGTATAGTATGATACTTCTACAAGCTGTTCTTCCTTTGTCACATACCTTAAACAAGATTAAGTCTTGTCTGGGAAATTGTACAAGCACTGTACAAAAAAACCTAGACTACAGTAGGAAATTATATAAATTCATTTTAGTCAAATAAACTGACCTCCTCACCAAAACCAATGCCTTCCTTGAAATATTGTGGGAAATTCCAATTGCATAATTATAATTTCTTCATGCAATATGCAACTTAGTACTGAATCTTTAAGACATTTCAATATTTTTACTGTAATAATATGTACTTTATACTTATTTTAATCATGAAGTAGTCTGAAATGTTTCAAGTAACTCTACAAAAGAATCAGTACAATCCCACACTTTAACTCCTCCCCTGCTGCCAAATACTAGCTGATTTTTATCTAACTTTGCCTGCCTGCCTTCTCATCCTCAAGAGAACATAATTTTTTTATGTTATAGTTCACTACAATTATTGCTTTAGGGGGATGAAAGAATTTAGAAAAAGAAATCATTGCCACAAGTGAAAGAAAAATCAAACTTTTGGATCCCAATTTAATTTTATTTATTTTTGGACTAAATTTTATTAGGTGCCAGCTAAACCTCTAACTGCTCAATTTTTTTGATGTTTGTTAGGTATGTACAGAAGCAGGGATTCAGTCTTTTGAGGAATGATTTTGATAGAATTTTAGATGTAGAATAAGTATTGGGTTTTAATATTTACAATAAATATATGCTTCTAAATGTAGTTCTCTGGCGATACATTATCTTTACTCATGACTGATATTTTAATACTGCATTTTTGCTTTAACTATAACATTTTACTTAAAATATTTTGATACAGAATTGTACCAAATATAGACTAAGACCACAGAAGTAAAAAATAGGTAGAAGACAGAGTGAAATGAAAGGTTCAAATTCATTAACTCATAAACACAGAGAATTTTTAGGTTTGCACCCACCTTTCAATAAAAAATTAAATCCTTGCAAAATGAAATGTCTTTTGTTATGTGATAAATAATCATTCTAAACCCTAAAACTCACATTGGGGACAGATGTGAAGACATAAAGACACAGGGAAATAGCAGCTAATGTTTACAAATATCTAAACTTTAAAGGTTGTCGACAGCAGCAAAGAACCTTCTTGGTAGTGTACATTCATATGTGATGTAGGAGAGAGTAAGCCAAAGCAATTACTCTTTATGAGAACATCAAAGAATTTAAAATCCTCTGGTAAGTGGTAGGAAGGTCTCTTTGCTAGGGTTATGTTGTTCTGTTTTTCTGCTCAGGACAGAAGTTGAGGTGCAGGTGGTAAGTTCTAACACTTGTTACAGGTGTGTCTCACTGTTGGCTTGAATTGGCTCATTTGGAGCTGCAACAACAGCAAAACCCCACAAAATAAAAAACACAAACCAAATTAAAGAGAACAACCCAAAAACTCCAGAAGATAGGTCTAAAGAGAATTCCTCATTTCATCATATAATTGGAAAAGTTGGGGGGGTTTTTTTATATTTTTAGTCCAATAAAACTTGGATTTATTGTAGCTCGTTACCTTAAAGCTGCCTGTTTGGAAAGATTGAAAAATCTTTGGCGTAGCAATTAAATGGTTCCCCTGAAAAGGGCTACCAAGAAAATGGCAATCATAACAAAATGTTTTGAGTAAAAAGATACAATTTAAGTTTTATTGAACAAAAAGGAAAAACTTTTATTTGTCTATAATGTCAAGGAGTAGATATTTACTGAGTCAGGCTATTAATTATCTATGTTTACCAAGAAATCATTTATGCAGCTGAAGAAATGGCCAGCTGTAATTGGTCCCCTACCTCAGGGGAGCCAAGGACAACTCTTGTTAGGCTGGAATGACACAAATCTGGATCCTGACCAGCTGGAGCAGACTTTCTTCTTCCAATATGCCCATATTTCCCTGCTGAGAAACCTTCTGCCAGAACAGGCCCCTGTCAAAGTTTTCAGTGTGTCTTGTCTGTCACTATCATGAATCAACATTTTACTCCGTAACAGGTTTGTAAGGAAAAATTGTTATTTATCTGCTTTCACCTTTAATGAAGAAAGTTATGCAGAATCATTTAAAGTGAAATTTAATTCAAATTGTTTGTTTAGGGATCTTCAAAAAAAATCTCTCTGTGTCTTATAATGCTTCATCTGTTGCATGTTTTAAATACACACCTTTAGGAGAAACATCAAGCCACTTTCTCAAAGGGACAAACTGCACTTTTTACACATGAAATCGCTTTATGTCAATAGAAAATTTGTAGTACAATATCAGGAGAGAAAAACCATGCAGCAGCCAGTAATAACACATAGCAAATGCAGTTTTTCAC